GGATCATAAGAGTCTCAAATATTTCTTTACATAGAAGGAATTGAATATGAGATAGAGACGATAGTTGGAGTTGGTAAATGATTATGATTGCACTATTTATTAACATTCTGGTAAGGCTAATATTGTTGCTGATGCTCTAAGCAGAAAGTCGATGGGACAGTTGGCATCATTACCTACTATTTCGATGGAGTTCATCAAAGACTTGGAAATTTGCAAATCAAAGTTATTACCACACAAGAACAAGTCACTGTTCATTTAACAACTTTGATGGTTTGACCCACTTTTAGAGATCAGATCATAGAATCACAAGATAAAGACCCATTTTTTGCAGAAGATCAAGAACGAGATTGGTACTGATAAGAGAAAGGATTTCAAAATTGCTTCTGATCAGGCACTAATGTTTAAAGGACAAATTTGTCTACCTAAGGATAAAGTTTTGAGGAATGAGATATTGAAAGAGGCTCGTTCTACCCTCATACACCGCACATCCTGGTAGAACGAAAATGTATTGGTGGAGGAATATGAAAAGAAGTATAGGTTTATTTGTGGCAAAATGTATAGTGTGTTAACAAGTTAAAGTAGAACATCAAAGATCGGTAAGGCTGTTAAATCCATTGGACATACCTGAATGAAAGTGGAAAAATATCACAATGAATTTTGTGGTTGGATTTTCGAAGTCAACAAGAGAACACAATACTATATGGATAATAGTGGATCGTCTAACAAAGTCCGCTCATTTTATTCCTGTAAAAATTGACATTCAGGCTAGATCAGCTAGCACAATTGTACATTAGAGAGATTGTAAGATTGCATGGTGTCCATGTAACTATTATGTCCGATAGAGATCCGAGATTTACGTCAAAATTTTGGAAGAGCTTACAATGAGCTATGGGAACGAAATTACATTTCAGTACAGCGTATCATCCTTAATCCGATGGTCAATCTAAAAGGACCATTCAAACTTTGGAAGATATGCTAAGAGCCTGTGTTCCGGATCTAGAAGGTAGTTGGGAAATGTATTTACCTTTGGTGGAATTTACATATAATAATAGTTTTCAAGCAACTATTGGAATGACACCGTATAAAGCTCTATATGGTAGAAGATGCAGATCGTCTGTTCATTGTGATAAAATCAAAGAAAAGAAATTTTTGGGACCAGAGACCATTGAAAGGACAGTGGAAGCCATTGATAAGATCCGTGCCAAGATAAAGGCAGCATAAGATAGACAGAAAAATTATGCAGATACCAGAAGAAAAGACTTAAAATTCGAAATTGGAGAGAATGTTTTTTTTCTGAAAGTGGCACTAGTAAATGGTGTACTTATGTTCAGCAGAAAAGACAAACTACGATCTCGTTATATCGAACCTTTTGTCATCTGAACTATCAAGACTCACAATGTGTTTAATATATCGATGATTAGAAAGTATATGCATGATCCTGATCACGTGATCAATTATCAATCTCTGAAAGCACAAAAAGATTTATCTTATGAGAAATTACTTGTTAAAATACTGGATCGAAAGGTACATAAATTACGAAATAAGGAGATTCAACTGGTCAAAGTGCAATGGAATAATCATGGAGTCGAAGAAGCTACTTGGGAAAGAGAAGAAGAAGTCAAAGACATATCCGACACTCTTTGTCAATCCATAACTTAAATTTCAAAGATGAAATGTTGTTTAAGGTGTAAGGTATGCAAAAGCCCGAGAAATAAAATGAAATTAGGCTATTATTTTGTAATGAGCTAGCACCACGAGCTTAGTTCATTTAAGAAACGTGCTATGGAAGCTCAATCCATTTAGGATTATGAAAGCTCAAGCCATAAGTTAATTGAAAGCTCAACAATTTAAGAGATTAAGTTTAAATAAATTTAATTACAAAGATTTAATGAATAACTGGGTTGCCTTGATGGTCATCTACATGGTATTTCATATAGGCAACCCAAGTTCAAATCACCATGTTATAGCTTAGAAACTCTTCAAATTCTTAGTTAAAGACCAAATTTAACAAACTTAGTGATAATACAACTCCCCAATCAGTTTTTTAGTAAAAAGGAAGGTTACAAAAAGAGGAATGTCACTTTTTCACTACACTTCTACTCAAGTCTGAATTTACTCTTATTTTCTCTCAAAAAGATATATTTCATATTAGGTTAAGTTTAAGGGAATAATAAGGGTAAGAAGAAGAAATGATTTCTACACATTTTGTCTTTTATATCCTTGATGGTCATCTACATGGTATTTCATATAGGCAACCCAGTTTCAAATCACCATGTTATAGCTTAGAAACTCTTCAAATTCTTAGTTAAAGACCAAATTTAACAAACATAGTGATAATACAACTCCCCTATCAGTTTTTTAGTAAAAAGGAAGGTTACAAAAAGAGGAATGTCACTTTTTCACTACACTTCTACTCAAGTCTGAATTTACTCTTATTTTCTCTCAAAAAGATATATTTCATATTAGGTTAAGTTTAAGGGAATAACAAGGGTAAGAAGAAAAAATGATTTCTACACATTTTGTCTTTTATATCCAAGGAAATTCAAGGTAAGTAGAGGTGCAAATGTTTATTTCGTTTTTAAATTATGATTTTTCAATAAATGTTTGAATGAAATGGTACCTCCAGGTACAGTACTTTGACACTACAGCAGTTTGAATGATCATTCTTCAGCTCTACATGTTATGATAATGCTATAGTAATTCGATTTTTTTAGAAATCCATCTACATGCGACAGTATAAATCTATAGTTCAAAATTTCTAATTTAATAACGAAATACACCGATGATGTCTATTGAATTTCAAACTCATGGGTTAATTTCCTCCCTACAGGTTGAATGAATTTTCTTGAGGCGTGGATGATGATAGAGGATGATGCAACATGCTATAGAGAAAGTCGGTGATTTAATAATTTTAATTCGATCATGAAATGTTTACGTTTGTTTCTTTTTATATAAATTTCTATGGACATCATATGTGGCACTATTATAAGAATATTTCTCCATGAATAAGTTATGTTTAAAAGTAGATATGTGTTATAGAAGTTATTTTACAAAACATCATTTACAAAAAAAAAAAAAAAAGTGTAAGTAAATTAAAATATTGTTGTCTTTTAAAAATTTCAATTTCTTTCTTGATATTGCAAATTCACATCTCACTCATTACTTGGAATTTTTAGACAAAACCAATGGCGTTGGATAACCATATAGGTTAGCTTTTGAATAAACTTGGAATCGTGTCAATCCGATGTCGGTAGAATTTTATGTCACTTAAGGTAAACTGCACTGGCTAGTGTTGCTGTTTTTCAGCTTTTGCCTTGACTTAAAAAATTCATAACTCGACTCTTACTTGGAGTTTTTGGATGAAATTAATTTGATTTGATAGTCTCATGGATTAGCCATTGAATAAATTTGAAATCATGTGGTTTTGATGTCTATAGAATTTTATATGTCATTTTAAGTAAATTGCACCGGTTTACCTTTCAAGTGGGTCACTGTTGAATTTTGAAAAATATTTTAATACCTCATATGATGCCGACGGAAGCTAATTTTTTACTATGTCATATTATAAGGATTTTCCTACTTTACACAAAAATTTGATGAAATTTCAAAATCGATAGCTATACAAACGAATTTATTTTGACACTTACCCTACTAGATAGAAAAAAAAACTTGTTTAGTTAGTGTTAGTGGGATTTTAGGAAATATCTTAACGCCTCATATGTATCCGACGGAAGCCAAATTTTGGATATGTCATATTATAAGACGTTCCCTACTTTTCCTTAGAATTTTATGAAATCTCGATATTGATAACTATGCAAACGAGATTATTTTAAAACTTACTCTGCGAAAATGGGAAATCAAAACAGATTAATCTCTTTTTTACTTCCTAAAGTAGTTCATACATGGAAAACTATCATACATTTTATTTGTTTGGTAGATATGTACTTACCACTATACTTACCACTATTCACGTAATAAAATAGGCATATGTATGGATTTGCTCGACTCTTTTCTACTTTAATAAATGCTTTTAGAATTATATTACTATCTAAATTTTAATGGGAAATTCATTGATATATATATATATATATATATA